CCCTAAAACACGCGGGTTTTCCTTTAATGCATGCCAGATGTCGAGACAAAGACTCGTTGCATTGTAAACCCACATGAGCCAAGCTTCTCCCCCACAAGACATCAGATGACCTCTTGACCTGTGTCTTCCTGAGAAGCTATGGATCACAATTACAGGCAGGAATACACTTTAACCATTAAACAGATTCCCGAGGACAAATCACTAAACTCTATATACTTTAACAAGACTAAAATATTCCTTTACAACAACATTTGAGACATTTGCTTTATTTTGCTTTTCCATTAAAGAGCGAACACTGACAGAGCAGCTGAGACACAACCTCCCCTCCTAAATACATTCAAAGTGTGCTGAAGCAAAGCTTTATGATATTGCATTTTAATCTTTTTAATTGATGATACTGTTGATCCAGCCAAGGTATTTGGAGATCTCTGTGTAGACGTTGGGATAATTTGGGTAGTCACAGATTCTGTTGTTGTTGAAAGACACAACACCAACAGCTATCCCGTCACACACCAGAGGACCACCAGAATCACCCTGTCAACAAGGAATATTATTCATTATTTTATTTAAGATTTTTAAACCATTTTTATACTAGCTTACATTTTACATCAACAAAGAGAAATCATACCTGACAGAAGCCTTTGTGGCTGCCATAACCGCCGGCACAGATAACATCGGAAGGAATACGACCCCATAACTTAGAGCATGCGTTCAGGTTTATGACAGACACATCCACCATCATCAGCCTATCAACAACTCCACCACCAGTCTTTATGAAACCCCATCCAGCTACATGGCAGGTTTTATTTTCTTGAATGTGCATATTAGAAGGAGGAAGGGCAATGATTTGTTTGTTGTTCCCGGCAACTTTCTTCTTCAACTGGAGAGGAACAAAATCTCAAAGTAAATCTCACAAAACTAGCAATGTCTGTAATATAAGATAATACTTTTTTATTCTTCAGACTTCAATGTAACAAAAAATTGCTGAAGATGAAAGTTAAATTATTAATTTGATCCAAAAAAAAAGTGTACTTACTTTGAGGAGCATGATGTCATTACCTTGGTCTACTTGGTAATAGGATCGGTGTTTATATCTCTTTTCAATGATTCTTACATTTTCTTCACCAACTTTGCTGAGATCGTGAGTGCCAACAACGACCCTGTCCGGTTCCCTAAATGAAAGATAAGATAATATTCAATATCGAAGATAATATTTAAAAATAAAGGTGGTTAATATATCTTGAAGACTTTTCAAATTGCTTTCTAATTGAATGATTCAAAGATAGCGGATAAAGGAAGTTATACTCACTCGGCGCTACAGTGCGCAGCAGTGAGCACAAAGTCTTCGCTGATCAGGAATCCTCCGCACATATGTTTCTCGTTTTTTTGCAGGGAGACTAAAAATTCGTACGTATCATCTGGGGCTATTGCTCCTTTTATGATTCTACTACCATCTGCTGAAATAAGTAAAAGGTCATACTGTAGGTTAATTTCAGTTAATGATTGGAGCATAATAAACAGAGTTCGGAGTATTACCATTTTGTCCGAGAGATGCCAGGACCTGAAAAAGCAGAAGTTTGTGTAGAGCATGCATGATGCCTGCAAGACAATTGACTTGCCTTTGTTCTTTGGGGCATTAAGTCGATCCTTTTATGCAGCACTTGGTCTGATTAACACATAGATTATTTTGAATTCTGACCACATCCACATGTTTGTCTGCAAGTTTGCACTAACACATTTCATTAGTCCCCACTTTGCCGTTTTTTTGTTTTTTTGTTGGAGCAGCCCACTCAAACATTTCTTGTGAAATCTGCAACAAACCAACTGAACCACAGAAACTGGTTTCCTGCTTCCCTTCTGAGCAAACATCAAAGTTGTGAAACAAATGTAATCACTTTGATCATAATTTTACAGACAAATGATCTAAATGTAAAATCTAAATTGGGGGTGAATGGCCGCTTCCTTCATATCAATCCCAACTATATCTGCAAAGTCTTGAGACTGCATGTGACACGGTTGCTTAAGGTGACAAAATCTATCCACAGATACATGAGTAGGCCTACTAGGTATATGTTAATTTAGTAGAGTCCTTTTCATTTGGCTCTATACAAATAACATTTATGATAAATATAATCTTAAATTGACCCTGTTCTATATTAAAAGCTAACATTATGGGGACATGACCAAGTGATGCGACTGCATTCGTCAACATCTGCACATATCTTTATAGCTTAAATGATCTGCACAGCCACACTTAATGTTCAATGTTTCCAGACGGACATTAATTAATCTAATGTTACAGGCAGATTGGCAACCAGGCATAACAGTTCAGTCAGACAACTCACGTGTTTCTTTAACATGTATTTAGAAGCAGCATATAGTTGAGTTTGGCGACTAGGCTCGGGCATCATCACTCCACAGATATACATAGCACGATGAGTGATGATTAAATAACTAACCCCCCGAGCCTACAGGTGGAAGCTGGGGTGGAAGCTGGGGTGGTGGTGGGGCAGGCAAGCAGCAGCGACGTGGAAGTAGCTGCAGCAATAGCAGCAGCAAGCAATGCATGGAGAGAGATCTGGCATTGCCAGTGGCAGGTTAAATAGAGCGGGATATTAAAGAGACTCTGTTTGGTTGGTTGTAGAGTGGCAAGGGGCGTTATGTATGAATGCAGAATAAGTGCTCGAGTTGACTGCCTGAACTAGCTCGCAGGCTGCCCCATTTAGCAAGGATATTGATAAAATAAACAAAATCAATATGCAGTGCAAATGTTAGGCCTTTACTCGAATATGAAGATTTCTTAAAAGGCCCAACCAGTCACTTAATGACATTAATAACTAAGGATTTCATGTCTTGTAAGAAATTAAATTCTAATAATTAAAAGATAAAAATGTATGTAAATGTCCTCTTTCTAAAGAATAAAAAACACTTCATTCAAGCCCGCATTACAAACTAGATATCCGGCAACTGCCCTCGGCATATATACGTTTTTAATATTATGCTGGTTGGCACGGGGACATTTCGAGGCTGCACATGTGTATCCTCCGCGGTCTTAAAATCCCCACAATTCTTTGCGCAAAGACCAATTTCCAAATCTTTAGCGGAAATCACGCTCCAGTTAAGGCGGGGCCTCGCATATGACGCACACCTGCACACCTGTTAGTCAGTCTGTTCCACCATTCTTCGTTTTCCGAGGCTAGGAAGGATTCTTGCCTCGCTTCTGAAGGACCTGACTTGGAGGGACATGTCCTACCAAGGAAGCGTCCTCGACATTGAGAAACACCCATTGTGTTTGTGATTTGGAGATATTTTATCCTGGGGTTATTTCATGACCTTGGCGTTTCTGTTTCCTGTTTTATTTGTAAAAATCACTAACCTTGTTTCATTGACTTCCTGTTTATGTGGTTTCCCACTTTATGTGATTGTTGGCCTCGTCCTGATTGGATCCACCTGTGTGTGTGATCACCCTGCTGCTCCTGTGTTTTAGCCTGCATATAGCAGCTGTGTCTTGTTGTGGTGATTAGTTCTGAGTGCATCTATACCTGTCTGTTTTCAACTGTTCTGCTTCAGTGCGTCGTTAATGTTCCCTGGTGTGGTTCGCCACAGTGCTCGTCACTATATATATAGACATTTTTATTGATTGGGATAAACCCCTTGAGATGCACCATCTCGTTTTCAAGGTTCACTACTTTAATCCTCTTCTACCCCGTTGATGTTCTCCCTGTTTTTTCTAAATTTTGTTTTTTCTTTTTTAACCTCCCTTTTTTTGTTATCTTTACCTGCTTGCCTACCTGTGACATGTTATAGTTGTTTTACTTTTATGTCATTTTCTTTAAAGCTACAGTAAAGACAGACCTCTTATTTAAAGTTTTGGTTAGGCCCACTGTTTTCCACTTACAGGACTATCTGGGCTGTCACAGTCTTACAGGTGGTTTGGTACAGTGTGGAGATGTTTTATTTGTATTTCATGCTTTTTCGCTGTTTTAGCTCCCGTGTGCTTCTGTCTTGCAGTATGACTGTCGGCTTTCTACATGATATTGGTGCTGGTTTTAGAGCCTTCCCAATATTCTCCTCCGACTGCGGGTTTCCTGGACATGCTCTCCTGTACTGGTAGGCCTGTTTTTGTCCCCCTATTTGTGGATAAGACTTGGTAACAGTAAGTGAGCTTTAGTTGCATTGATCTAACGAGTAAAGACCACCAACACCGTCATTGTTTGAGGTGGAGATTCTCGACACATGCCACTGAAACCTTTCTTTGAAATCGACAACAAACTAAGAAACCACAGAAACCACAGAAACCAGCAGATACAGGTTTGAACATTTATGTTCTCACGGTTATGCTGCAATGATTTAGTTAGTAGGCCTCGTTGCAGGGCAGAACAAACACATATCTAGTTAGGCCATTAATTACCTTGTTTCTCATGTAACATTATATATTATAAACTCACATGTTTTGTTTTTGAAAGGATTTGACTGATTATTACATTATTCATTATACACATCTGACTACAGTATTCACTGTTTTTCTCACCACAAATCCATATTCAGTTACACTACCAACACATGTCATATTTGATAAACATATTACAAGCTGTTGCTCTCATTACAACATAATTCGACTGTATATACTCAGTAGAAAAGGCCTGTGTCGGACCACAGAGCTGCACAGTTTCTCTGCTTTTTGACCATTAGTGGGCGCCACTCCTATCAGGGTTTGTTATATCCATCCTCTGCAGTGCATCTGAGTCCAAGGCAAACAAATGTCTGTGTCATCGGTCATGCTTGTGTGTTTGAAGTATTTATTTTTCTGTACTCCCTCTCTGTGCCCTGTAGTTAATATTATGTTACTGTCCAATAATTAGAGTAAACTATTTTGACAGGCAAAATAGAGTGTGTTATTCTACAAAGTTAAAACATAATTGTTAATTATTAACTCTGCGACAAGCAATAACGCCACAAAGGAAACAAACTCATTAATGCACATTTTTAATAACACCGCAGGTAGAAACATTTCAAATTCGTAAAAGCAGTTTTGAAGAAATAATAAAATCATAAAAAATTAAATCTGCCACCATTTAACCCTCCGAAAAAAAATTGAAAGACTTGCAGACTTTTAGTACATCTACTTTAGTACAAGTCCTTTGAGCATCAGATCTGAGACCATTGCAACTGGTTGAGGGGTACACACACTTGTTTCATTAGGGTCAGGTGTGAACATGTTAACTCATCTTGGATGACAAATGCAAACCAGCTTAAGTGGATTTGAAGTTTCTTTGTGCAACATTACCCAATTATAAGACTAAAAGCTGCGTCATATTTATAAATTCTACAAACAAAATTCAAAAAGGTTTAAGTGATTGACGTTAACACATACAACACGGTTAGCTACATGTGATACGAAACTGGCTTTACTTTCAGGAGAATACATGACCCTTTGTGTTTGAAAAAGGTGAACAACAGATGCAACATATGTAGATGTACATGTTGATATAATATTGATGAACTGCCAAGCAACAATGTTTGTTATGAACAAAGCTTTTATTTTTCAAGTTTTGAGATGACATTTAAGGAGCCAGTACAGTGCAATAAGAGTATGTTGATCTGTTACATTTAACAATCCATCATCATCTTTCTGATCCAGGGAAGGTATTGTGATACATCTGTGTACACATTGGGCCTATTTGGGTATCTGCAGTTCTTGCCCCAGTTGTAAGACACAACACCAGCTGCCTTCCCGTTGCACACCAGAGGACCCCCAGAATCACCCTGTGAGGAGGAAGAAGCTATATTAGTTCATTTTCTTTCTAATAACCTTTTTATAATGAGACCATACCCCTATGACAGGAAAGGAAGCATACCTGACAGAATCCTTTATTTGTGCCATATCCACCAGCACAGATAACTTTTTTAGGAAGCATGTTAGGCCATTCGTTCTTACAGACATCCAGGTCAACAATGGGCACATTCACCATTTGCAGCTCATCAGGTTCACCAACACTTGTTAGGCCCCATCCAGCAACACTGCACGTTTCTATATTTGTAATCTTAGTCTCAGTTTCTGGAAGTGAAATTGGCTGCAATCTTTGGTTCAGTTGAGCTTTCTTGGACAGCTGGAGAAACAAAATCACAAGTGAAAATGAGTGAAAAAAACTAGAAAATACAGAGGTCTGATAGAGGATACTTCGTATCCCCATATCAGACCTCAAGCTTGAAAATAGTTGCTTGAAAATGAAGCTGCTCATAGTATTGATGTAAATGCTTTGTTTTAACGGTTTTGTTGAGACTAAAAGTGAATTTAACAGAGCATCAAATTACTGGAACTCTACTTACTTTGAGGAGCATGATGTCCGACCCCTCTTCAACCTTCTCATAACATTGATGCTTGCATCTCTTCACACTGTATCTCATTGTGTCGTTAATATTCTTGAGATTGTGGGTACCAAGAACAACACTTGTAGGATTCCTAAGCAAATGATCATCAGGAGGCAATCAGTAGTGTTTATTAATAGCTGCTGCATGTTTTGCAAAAATAAGGTTCTTTGGATTGGTCCAATAACATTAATCATTGAGTATTGAAAGAGCAAAGGTAACCCACCCATCATCACAATGTGCAGCAGTGACCACAAAGTCTTCGTTGATGAGGAATCCTCCACAGTCATGTTGGTTGCGGCTGTTCTGAACCGAGGCCATAAACAGCATTTCGTTCTCCGGGACCTTTTCACCATTTATGATTTCACTCCCATCCGCTGAAAATAAGTAAAAGGTCATACTGTAGGTTAATTTCAGTTAATGATTGAAGCATAATAAACAGAATTCGGAGTCTTACCATTTTGTCCGAGAGATGTCAGGACCTGAAAAATCAGAAGTTTGTGTAGAGCATGCATGATGCCTGTAAGACAATTGACTTGCCTTTGTTCTTCGGGGCATTAACTCGATCCTTTTATGCAGCACTTTGTCTGATTAACACATAGATTATTTTTAATTCAGACCACATCCACATGTTTGTCTGCAAGTTTGCACTAACATATTTCATTAGTCAGCATTTTGCCGTTGTTTTTAAAAAAAATCTGCAACAGTTGAACCACAGAAACTGGTTTCCTGCTTCCCTTCTGAGCGACCATGGTCTCCCAGTCAAAGTTGTGATACGAATACTATTTAATCACTTTGATCATAATTTCACAGAAAAATGATCTAAATGTAAAATCTAAATTGGGGGTGAATGGCCGCTTCCTTCATATCAATCCCAACTATATCGGCAAAGTCTTGAGACTGCATGTGACACGGTTGCTTAAGGTGACAACATCTATCCACAGACACATGAGTAGGCCTACTAGGTATATGTATAGTCCTTTTAATTTGGCTCTATACAAATGACATTTATGATAAATATAATCTTACATTGACCCTGTTCTATATTAAAAGCTAACATTTTGGGGACATGACCAAGTGATGCGACTGCATTCGTCAAAATGTGCACATATCTTTATAGCTTAAATGATCTGCACAGCCACACTTAATGTTCAATGTTTCCAGACAGACATTAATTAATCTAATGTTACAGGCAGATTGGAAGGATATTGAAAAAATAAACAAAATCAATATGCAGTGCAAATGTTTACTCGAATATGAAGATTTCTTAAAAGGCCCAACTAGTCACTTAATGACATTAATAACTAAGGATTTCATGTCTTGTAAGAAAGTAAATTCTAATAATTAAAAGATAAAAATGTATGTAAATGTCCTCTTTCTAAAGAATAAGAAACACTTCATTCAAGCCCGCATTACAAACTAGATATCCGGCAACTGCCCTCGGCATATATACGTTTTTTATATTATGTTGTTTGGCACCTATAACTCTCCTTATTTCTTAGTGGTGTTACATTATTCATTAAACACTGGCTGACAATAAATAATGTTATTATGAATACATTTGCCTCAGAGTCCTGCATGAACTGTGCATAGACTGTATTTTAACATTGGTCATATGGTGGTACTTGGAGAGCCAACTATTTTCTCAGGTGGAAGTCTACTTGGTGTAAAAAGGTTGAGAACCACTGCTGTAGATTAAGTTACGGTCCAATAATTAAAGTAAACTAGTTCGACAGCCAAAATAGAGTGTGGCATTCTACAAAGTTCAAACATTGTTAATGGTCCCATGTCATGCTTTTCCGGTTATTACCCGTCCCCTTGTGTGTTATGTAGCTTGTTCTGCATGTAAACCGTCTGCAAAGTCACAAACCCTCAAAGTACACCCTGTAGCGAGTAAAACTCGAACACAGAAAAGACCTGTCTAGGCTGCCCCAGAACGCCTCGTTGGAGATTTTTATTTTTCCATTTTTTTCTTGCTGGGTACAGTGACGTGACCAGTGACCACAAAGTCATAATTGATGAGGAATCCTCCACAGATATGTTTGTTTCTGCTGTTCTGAACCGAGGCCATAAACTGCATTTTGTTCTCCGGGACCTTTTCACCATTTATGATTTCACTACCAAGTGCTGAAAAGAAGGATGAGTTAATACTGCATTTGTAGTAAAGAGACATGTGGGAATCTTACCATGAAGTCCAAGAGTTGTAAGAAGTTGCAGCAAACTGAACCTGTTGTCTTTGGGTGTCGTGTCGACCCTTTGATAAACCAGTTCCCTCAGTCAGCGACTCTGTGCAAACTTTAATTGTGTTAGTAAAGAAATGACAACTCATGAAGTGTTGCAGATGTTTCAGTATCTATAAGGCCTGTGGTTCTGCGGCCTCCACAGCCTGAAGCACATGAATTATGTGAACAGCGTGGCTGAGTTTTCACATGGTCAACAATTTATTCTCGACAACATTTGATGTAATTTGCTTGAAGTGATCCTTTTTTATCTATTTAAATATCAAGTATCGTGTTTTTTCTGAAAATTCTGGGATATTCTTGTCACTGTTTGGATAATACTTATCCTTAATGTGGCTAAATAACCTTTAGTCACATTAAGTTGGATGAAATATGTGAAAAATAATCAAAATTGTTTGGTATGGATCTACATTTCAGCTTTCACATTTGGGCTGTTGTCTTTTTATTACTGCGATGTTGCACCATAAATAAAATGAGTTGCTGTAACCAGTTTCCATCTCAAAGTCTGAGTGTCAGTATTATCACAGTCAAGTGTGAAGATCATTCTGTGAAAACATGTCAACGCTGACTGACAAATAATATAAAAGAGCATTGTGGCTCATTAGTCAGTGTCTTACCAAAATGTATTATAGATTAGATACGTTCTTAGGAGCTTTCACTCTTTTGAAGTGTAATTTGTTTGCATAAAAACAGCTTTTTTTGTTTGTTTAAATCAATAGGTTGAATTTCTTTTATCTGCTATAATCTAACTTCATTCTGTATCTGACATTTTTATTCACGCTATTTTTTTAATTAATTCATACTTTTTGGACATTCAGCCAAAGAGAAAAAAAATTTGCTGATTTATCTGATACAACCCATACATTTCTTTGCATAGCGTTTCAATCTAGATGAACCACAGACACCACAGTTTCCAACTAAAGATTTGAGTAGTGACGTTCCCACACTAGCAGTTATGAAACTAGAGCTCAATGATTTTATCATTGTTTAACAGCTACAGATGTATCGGTGCTATAAAACACATTTTGACTGGATACTAAAGGCCTCATGCAAACCCTTGACACTGTCTGGTGTTGTTGCTGGTCACATTCTCGGCACAGATAACATCGGAAGGAATACCACCCCATGACTTGGAGCAGGGGTGTCAAACTCAAGGCCCGGGGGCCAAATCCGGTCCGCGACTTCATTTAATGTGGCCCGCAAGAGCATGCAAAGAATATAATACGTTTATTATACGGTTACACTTCACTTTACAGGAGCACGTTGCCCATAAACTACATGTCCCACAATGCATCTTGTTTTGTGACATGCGCACTGAAGAGACTTGCAATTATTTACCCTAAACTTCTGCTTTCAGACGTAGTTAATTATGAAGTTTTTACCCTATCCGATAATAATCCAATGCACAGGAAATGATGTATTATACATTATTTTGTATATATTGTAGAGCTGATGAATGGGAGTCGGAGGCGGTGTGTTCAGTATGGAACTCCACACATTATTATACATTCAAACTAGGGCCGGGACTTTAACGCGTTAATTAAGATTAATTAATTACACAAAAATTAACGCGTTAAAAAAATTAACGCATTTTAATCGCACTTATTTTTGCACCGCGGAACGTTTCTCACTGGATGAGTTTCAGGCGTACCGATTATACTGGAGCACCAACTAACGTTCATGACTTCAGACAACAACAACCCACAGTGGGAAATGTTGTTTTAAAAAACGGACGGATGGAAGCGTCGATAAGAGCACGGTTGTGTGCAAATTATGCAAAAAGGAATTCGCATAACACCGCAGCACATCAAGCCTCAAGTATCACCTCAATGCAAAACATATAGCAGCTAGCGTGGAAGCTAGCGTGGACGTTAGCCTCTTTTATCGCGTTCACACCAAAAAGAGCCGGTACTAAAATTAGTTCATGAGAACCTTTTTACCCTCACGAGCTCTCTTGTGAGAAAAGAGCTATATGTCTGATTGGCTGGGCGGATTGCAAACCACACCCCGTAAAACTCCCAAAAAGTTTTGTGAAGCCGCCATTTTATTATCCTCGCATTAGCATTATTAGCATTAGCGCAGCGCAGAAACGCAGAGAGACTAACTTATGGCAACACAAAATAAAACATGGGAGCGGTGGAGATGAGGAGGTGTCGGCGTTCTGGCAATTTACTCGGAAGGCTTCAGTAGAAGCTGCTGGGACTCCCAGCAGCTTCTACTGAAGCCAGTCCCCAACTCCGGGGACTTTGGGCGGCAGTATACGCCGTGAAGTGGTTTGCGGCCTGCCAGTAAACCCAAAGCAGAAGAAGAAGAAGTGACGTCAGCGGCTTCATTTGCCTAATCCTCCCCCAGGTTCAAAGAGTTCTCATGAACCTTTGTGGGAAAAGTACTGCGGTGTGAATGCGCCTAATGGTATACTAAAATCCATGTGAAAAAAATTGCTTCTCACTGTTCTCAGGTCAAATATGTATATGTGATTAAAAATGCGATTAATTTCGATTAATTAATTACAAAGCCTCTAATTAATTAGATTAATTTTTTTAATCGAGTCCCGGCCCTAATTCAAACACAAGACTGGAATACACTTGCTGCTGCATGTCATGCTAGCCTGCATGAATCTAACTTCCGGTGTCCCACTCTAACGGGTCCGTGTTGCAACACAAGCCTGAAGGTGAATTATGTCCAATAACGTGTCACCACACAAGCCCCCCCAGAATTCACACATAAACAAAATCAGCATGGCGGGGAGGAACGACACGCCGACCCCCACGACTCCTGAGCACGGGAGTCCGGAAAAGTGACTTCCGCCTGTGCGGCCTCCGGAAGGTGAGGGACCGGAACAACAGGTCTTAAATCTGTGACCGGGGTCGAGGCCGGGGGGCGGCCCCGTCGCGGAGGTCGAGCCAGCACCACCGGCTGGTCTAAGTCCAGGTGAGCAGCCTTCACCCGGTCCACCGAGACGTGCTCGGCCTTGCCACCCAGGTCGACCACCAGGTGCTTGTCCCCGTGCTCCAAGACCCGGAAAGGGGGCTGCAGGGGGCCTCTGTGCGCATCGTGCCGGATGAACACGTGCCCCGCCAAGCGGAGCTCTGCGGGAACCCGGGACACCTGAGTACCACGCTGAGTAGTAGGGATCGGAGCAAAGGCCTCAGCGGCGTCCTGCAGGAAAACCCGCTGGGCTGACGCCGACCAGGGAGCCGATGCATTAGGGAGGAAATCCCCAGGAACCCTCAGCGGCTGACCGTATACCATCTCAGCCGTAGAGCACTGCAGGTCTTCTTTAGGTGCAGTCCTCAGGCCCATCACCCAGGGCAGCTTGTCGACCCAATTCCCGTCCGTAAGGCCGGCCTTGAGGGCCGCCTTCATGGAGCGATGGAACCGCTCACAGAGGCCGTTAGCCTGAGGGTGATAAGCGGTAGTCTTGTGCAGCTTAACCCCCAAACCACTCGCCACGGCGTTCCAGAGCTCGGACGTGAACTGTGAGCCTCTGTCGAGGTAGACAAACACAAACAGCAGGTCCCGCAGCACCGAATCCATCAGGCGCTGGAACGTCTGAGCGGCATTCTTTAGCCCAAAAGGCATCCGCAGGAACTCAAAAAGTCCAAAAGGTGTTATCACTGCCGTCTTGGGAATGTCCAGGGGGTGCATGGGCACCTGGTGGTATCAACGCACCAGGTCCACCTTGGAAAACACCCCCGTACCGGCCAGATGCGCCGAAAAGTCCTGAATGTGCGGCACCGGATAAATCCGCTCCTTGGAGGGGAAAATAAATGTCCTTTGTCACAAAATCCCAGCTGAAACGCGGTCCTCCGATGCACAAATACATAGTCCTCACGCCGTACGTGCGAATGGGACCGCCGGGTGACGTCTTCACTCGACGCGGGAACTACGCTCCGTTGAGCGCCCGTGTCACACAGAAAAAGGCTCCCCGAAACGCTGTCGCTGACGAAGAGGAGCCTGCACGTGCCGCCGACGCTCAGGGCCACTACTGAGTGCCGGCCCCTCCGTTTCCCGGGGGTTTGTAGCTGCACGGATCGATGCATTTCTTCGCCATTGTCCCGAAAAATGCGTGGTAAAAGCACTCTCCGGTGTCTCCACGCCGGCTCGATACAGCCGTGTCCTGCCCCCGCCACGCTTTCTTGACTGCATATGGGCCGCTGAGCGTCGCGGATAACGTCTCTGCACCGGGCTGTTGTGTAGCCAGGAAAAAACGATCCGCTTCCTCAGCCAAGACACGGGGCTCCGTGACAGGCGTGTTGGCCAGCGCCGTCTGGACCTGGGGAGGCAATTGACGCAGGAAAATCTCCGTGAATAAAATCCGGGGATCTTCCCCCCTAGCAGATTTAGCATTTTCTCCATTAGCTGAGATGGCTTGCTGTCTCCTAGGCCCTGAATGTCAAGTAACTGGCGGGCCCTCTCCTTAGCAGATAAGCTAAATGTCTTAAGGAGGAGGGCCTTAATCGCCTCATATTTGCCATGGTGTGGGGGGTCTGTGATAAAACCAACCAACCTGGACGACGTGGAGCCTCCTACCGCTGCTACAACGTGGTAGTATTTCAGGTCCCCGTCACGGACCTGTCGGCAGGTGAAGTGCGCCTCCACGTGTGCAAACCACGCGCTGCGGCATTCTCCCAAAACTCCGGCAGCTTTACGAAAACATCGCGCTCAGCCATGTTCGTTAATTTTCCGGAAACCTTCTCGGAAAAGTCGGGGTCACCAGTGTAGAGCCGATGAATGGGAGTCGGAGGCGGTGTGTTCAGTATGGAACTCCACACTTTATTATACATTCAAACACAAGACTGGAATACACTTGTTGCTACTGCATGTCATGCTAGCCTGAATGAATCTAACTTCCGGTGTCACACTCTTAACGGGTCCGTGTTGCAACACAAGCCTGAAGGTGAATTATGTCCAATAACGTGCCACCACAATATTATATATTTATATATGTATATTTATAAAGTCTTAAAGCCACAACCGGCCCTTTGAGTGCAACCATAATGCTGATGTGGCCCGCGATGAAATTGAGTTTGACACCCCTGACTTAGAGCATGCGTTCAGGTTTATGACTGACACATCCACCATCATCAGCCTATCAACAACTCCACGACCAGTCTTTATGAAACCCCATCCAGCTACATGGCAGGTTTTCTTTTCTTGATTGTGCATATTAGAAGGAGGAAGGGCAATGATTTGTTTTTTGTTCCCGGCAACTTTCTTCTTCAACTGGAGAGGAACAAAATCTCAAAGTAAATCTCACAAAACTAGCAATGTCTGTAATATAAGATAATACTTTTTTATTCTTCAGACTTCAATGCAACAAAAAATGGCTGAATATGAAGCTGAAAGTTAAATGACTAATTTGATCCAAACAAAATGTGTACTTACTTTGAGAAGCATGATGTCATTACCTTTGTCTACTTGGTAATAGGATCGGTGTTTATATCTCTTTTCAATGATTCTTACATTTTCTTCACCAACTTTGCTGAGATCGTGAGTGCCAACAACGACCCTGTCCGGTTCCCTCAATGAAAGATAATATTCAATATTGAAGATAATATTTACAAATAAAAGGTGGTTAATGTATCTTGAAGACTTTTCAAATAGCTTTCTAATTGAATGATTCAAAGATAGTGGATAAAGGTTATACTCACTCTGCGCTACAGTGCGCAGCAGTGAGCACAAAGTCTTCGCTGATCAGGAATCCTCCGCACATATTGTTACGATTTGTGGAAAAGGTAGGA